CTTTCGCCGTAGTAGGATTAGTAAATTCGCCGCGTCTCCCTGTCATGCGCAACGGTGGCACTGCCATGTTGGATCGAAAGCTCGGTGCACAGGAGTTCAGATGAAAGTTTAGAGTCTCAAGACGACATTGGATAACCAAACGTGGATCGCGTTTTATTTCTGGGACACAAGACCTCTCTCAACACACAGGTCTGATTATGAGAGTCTCCGGTATCCGAGCCGCGGTGATCAGAGATCAATGAACGCATATTTTCTGTTGAACACTTCCTGATCACAAGTTCACACCATCGGATTGTCAAAAATGAGCGGTCCACCTTCAAACAGGAGGCCTGCGAGCAATGCTGGCTCCATTCTTCTCACCCAGCAAGAAAACCAAGTGCTCGTCAACCATGTGGGCAAGAAATGCACTGTAAGTTCTCAAGCATTTGCTTGATTTCTTTGCCAGTAGATCATGCTGTGGGATGTTATCGACTTGATACAGTGCTACTAATGGTTCCGCTGGAATGTGACACTTGGATAACCCATTAACATACACTGTATCCAGCTAACAAGCACGCGCATCTGTCTGACAATGTTTTTGGTGTTTGTTTATCAATAATGCTTTCAAATGTTCAGGTCAGCTTGTGTGAGAGACACTTTCCGAAGCAAATATGATGACCTCCGTCCTAAAATATAATCACAGCTATACATTTTTACGTTCCAGACCATATAAATGAGTTTGTGTGCCTTTGCATCAGTAGTTCATCTTATTTAATGAAAGATAATCATGGTAGGTGAACTTGTTTAGGAGTTGTAATCATACTGTCGCATGCCTTTATGTTCCTCACAGCTTGATTTTATGACCTGACAGCACCTCATAAAACTCTTTTCCTCCTTTTCAAACTGTTTCGGATTCACAGGAAAATAGCCCTGGTTTCCAATACAAGACCTTTACATTTCCAAGCCTACGCTATGTGTGCAATGATAATATACCAGGTTTTCATAACTAAGATTCTTATGAGGAAACTGTTGTCATTGGTGTGTCTGGTTAAACTGTCAGGAATGTAACCAAATATTTTGCAAATGGAGAAGTCATTGCACATTGGCTGATATGGCTTTTATATATATAGTGCGATTTTATGCACATTTCTTTAATCTTACACAATATTTACTGTATAATATTAGTACGTTTTAGAACTACACTCTTAAAAATAAAGGTGCTTCACGATGCCATAGAAGAACCTTTTTGTCTAAATGGTTCCATAAAGAATCTGAAGAACCTTTCTGTTTCACAAAAGCTTCTTTGTGGCGAAAGAAGGTTCTTCAGATTACAAAAACGCAAGAAAGAGATGGTTCTTTAAAGAACCTTTGACTGAATGCTTCTTTGTGGAACCAAAAATGGTTCTTCTATGGCATCGCTTGAAGAACCTTTTGAAGCACCTTTATTTTTAAGAGTGTAACGCTATGCAAAATGTCCATCTTGGTAACATCAGTTGACAGACAATCTCAAAATAACTATACAAAATAATCAGCCCTGATGATTTATATGTTTATGGGTCAAAGATGAGACGGCCCATTTTGGTGTCTTCATCAAATAAAATGTACAAAAGTGATTTTATATACATAAAAGCATATTAAATGCAAAGTGTCTACGGTCATGTTTCAAATAACTTTTGTGAAAATAAAATGTGAAAATGTGTGAAATAATGTCATTCAGCTTAACATGGAAAAATAAAGCATGAATAAATAAATGGGGAAAAAATATAAAAATGAAACAAGTATACTTATTAAAATATAAGTAAAAAGTAAATAAAGAAGTAAAATTGTAACAATACATTTTATTGTATTTTAAATTATTAAAAATAATAATGAATGAATGAAAATAAAAATAAAGAGGACACATAATGTATAACAAAGTATGTTATATTAAACGATATATATTTTTATGCTTAAAGACCCTTATTCATCATAAGTTACACCTTATTATTATTATTATGCAGCGATAGGTGATTGTTACCATTTGATCTCAAGTTTTTAGTGCACTATAGACACGTTCCCTTATTGCTTTGTGTAATCAGATTTCCCTCGGGCTGTTGTTGTGTAACACGCTGATACCCAAATTAGACTGGGGGTTTATCTGGGTAATGTTCAGTCCAGGTGTAGTCCATCCATCGTCTCGTGCTGCTCTCGCTCACCTGTTCGTTTGTATTTGGCTTTCTGTTTCCTCGTTCCACTGCATTACCTGTCCTGTTCCTACATGAATGTTGTGTTCATCAGGTAGCTTCCCTTTTCACATGAGGGCACGCTGGTTTCCAAAGAGCCTCGTTCCTTGGTGCGAAACAGGAATTGGGTTTGAGTTGCCGGACTTGTCGCCCAAAATTCATAGTTTCTCTTGCATGACATGAGTCCTTGAATGCCTCACATTCCTGGCGGCGTTGATTGATGACGCTGCTTGTCATATGTTTATTTATTTTGTAAGTCTTTTTTTTTATATTCAAAAGGCGTGTTGTGGCATGATAGAAGTGGGTGTGTTGTCCACATCTCTCTGATGATCGAGTTCAACTGCTGTGAATCACAGAACCATGAGTTTGTGACTTGAAACTTGTCCTTTTCTTGTTCGTATCCTGCCAGTGGGTTTGCTAGTTAGGGAGCTTTAGCTGCATGTGAGTTCACACACACTGACTGGAAACACAGCGTTAGTTTTAAACCGGATTGTTCGGTCAGCCCACCGTGAGGATGTGGTCCGGTGGGCCTCTGTGATTTTCTGCTGTTGCTGGCAGTATGGTTCTCCTGCATGTGAATGTGGGGGTTGGAGAACCAGTCCATCCTCTCGGGTAGTTCCTGCTGGCCGAGTTTCTGTCATTTTTGGTTGTTTGAACTGTGAGGAAAGCTACAAATCTCCAGAAAGCCCTTTCTTGAGTGTGTAATGCATAGAGTTTGATAATAGCAAGGTCATAGATTCTTCAGCTTTGACTCTTAATATTATCCTCGCCGTGGTCAACTGTGCGAGTTTTCAGATGTCCAGTGCTGAATCATAAGAGTGAGGGATGATGGACGAAATAATGATTTTTTATGTTTTGTAGAATTGTAAAATTCTCCCCATGAAGTTGACTTATAGTGCTATTTACAAAGTAATATTTAGTTTTTTTTCTGTTTTCTTAAAAAAAATTTTTAGCACTTATTTAATTATTTATTTGGCCTTGGGCTGTTGAGTTGGAGTAATTTTAGATCAGGGTATGTCTCTCCCACTTCGCTTCCTGTCAGCTCTGATCTGTCCTATCATAATAAAGGTGAAAATTCCCAAAATAAGTTTAAAAAAATAAAAAATAAATTTTGATCAGGGTTTTTTTGTTGGAAAAATAATTAACCCCTTCCTAAAGTATAATGACAGCTATATAAAAATCTATTTTATGTTTTGTAGAATTGTAAAATTCTCCCCATGAAGTTGACTTATAGTGCTATTTACAAAGTAATATTTAGTTTTTTTTCTGTTTTCTTAAAAAATTTTTTTAGCACTTATTTAATTATTTATTTGGCCTTGGGCTGTTGAGTTGGAGTAATTTTAGATCAGGGTGTGTCTCTCCCACTTCGCTTCCTGTCAGCTCTGATCTGTCCTATCATAATAAAGGTGAAAATTCCCAAAATAAGTTTAAAAAAATAAAAAATAAATTTTGATCAGGGTTTTTTTGTTGGAAAAATAATTAACCCCTTCCTAAAGTATAATGACAGCTATATAAAAATCTATTTATTTATTTATGTTTAGTCAGTTACAAATACAATTTATTAATTATTGTAGTACTACTAATCAAACTTTTTTTTTTTTTTTTGCATTTCAGAGTTATAGTAAAATGTAAAGAAATACAAATTTATGTGTGGGAATTATGTAGTGATTTATGGAGTTGATGTAGTATTTATGTATATTTATGTCATTTTAAAATGTTATTTAAAATATATTTAATAATTAATTAAAGTCTTATTTCTTTAATTTTTCATTTGTTTTATATATTATTTTCAATTTGATATGAATGTGTTTGAAACTCTTCTGCTCACCAAGGCTGTATTTATTTGATTGAAAATAAAATAAAAACAGTAATATTGTGAAAAAGTATTACAAACTAAATTAACTTTTTTCAGTTTTAATGTATTATAAAATGAAATTCATTCCTGTGATGCAAAGCTGAATTTTCAGCATCGTTACTTGTTGCATGTTCCTTCAGAAATCATTCTAATATGCTGATTTGCTGCTCAAGATACATTTCTTCTTATTATTAATGTTATTAATGTTCCTTGATATTTTTGTGGAAACTGATCCATTTTTTATCAAGATTCTTTCATGAAAAGAAAGTTCAAAAGAACAGCATTTATTGGAAGTAGAAATCTTTTGTAACATTTTAAATGTCCTTAATGTCACTTTCGATCAATTTAACACCTCCTTGCTGAATAAAAGTAGTTATTTCTTTCAAAAAATAGCAGCATTTGCAGCAAACAGTTTCTCTGTTCTTTGATGTCATCGGGTGCATGCATGAGTACATGTACATTACCAGATTTCATCCAGAGGGCGATTTTCCCCTAGCTGCAGCTAATAATGAGCGATAAGCTGCAAGATAACGTCGCACACACTCGGGTTCAGATGGATGCGCCTGACTTTGAGTAATGACTTAAATTAACTGATAATAGACGGCAGCTTCATTCAGCCAATGAGAGCGCAGAAGCCCCTCTCGCTGTGTGTGTGATCCTGCTCCTCTGGCTTTGATCTTGTTGTTAATATAAGCTTTGAGTGTGTCTGTAACTCGCAGGCCTGCACTTCAGTGGGTTGTTCAGACGTGTGGCGTGGCTGCATTCCGGACCGGGATCCTGGCAGGGCCGTCTGGCTTTGCTGGTCCGCTCTCCGCTTAAGTAAATCATCTGGCCCTGCATCCTGAGAATGGATGCTGATCGTTAATTCCCAAAAGTGGCTGTTTGGCGAGGATGTCTTCGTGCATATTGCAGCTATTCACTTAAAAGTGGCTGCTCGGAAGTTTGCGATTACATCACATGTCACTTTAACGGTCCTTTGTGGCTTTTCACTCAATATTGACTTGCTCTTTTGTTCTGATTCCTCGCAGCTGGTTCATCTCGGGTCAGACGGTTGATTTGTAAACTCAGCCGTTTAATTAGTTGTTTTTCCTCAACGGCGACATATTGTGTAAAGTAGGATTTTGACTTGCGCTTTTTAGTGTCTGTCCAGACCTTTTTATTAAAGCTAAACTGCAAAAACGGGGGGGATTCTGTGGAAGCTTATTTCCGACACGAAAAAAAAAAGAAAAAGATCATTGCGACTTTTCTCTCAATTCTGATTTTATTTTTCGTAATTCTAAGTTTGTTTCACAATTCTCACAATTCTGAGAATAAAAGTCACAATTGTGAAAGCAATTACCTTTATTTTTTTATTACTTTTATTTAATAAAAAATAAAACGCAACTCTTTCTCTCAATTTTTATTTTATTCTTTTTATTTAATGAAAAATAGAACGTAACTCTTTCTCACAATTCTGAGTTTATTTATTTATACAGAATAATATATCTATTTATATATTATATCTAATATAATATATTTATATCTCCCAATTGTGACTCTTTTTCTCAGAATTGTGAGATAGAAACTCAGAATACTGAGAAGTCCGAATAGTGAAAGTTGCAGTTACTTAAAGGTGGGGTAAGTGATTTCTGGTAGCCAATGTTGATATTTGAAATCACCAAAACAAACACGCCCCTATATATATATATATATATATTGTAGACAGGGGCGCCGTAACAGAGGGGAAGGTTAGGATGATTCCAAGGGCCCGGAGAGGGGGCCCGGGACGCATTTTTTTTATGGGAAAACCATAGCGGCGCCCCTGCTTGTAGAATTTGGTCCTTTTTGTATTACATATGCATGCTGGATTTAATTCTCTCATTCTGTGTAATATAAAAAATGATCTATGATTATATAGCTGTGCTTTTCGCCAAGAGGTTCGACTGTGGTCATAATGTGCATAATGCGGCTTGCTCCTCTTGATTAGAGAGAGCGTCTCATTCACTGGCGTTGTGACCGGCAGCTTCGTGAGGAGACTGTCAAAGGCGCAGCGCTGTCGTCCTCGCTCGCATCCGTCCTGAGGTGTTTGCACTGTGAATGACACTACCTGCGCTATGATAATGTCTAATAAATAAAATCATTCTGAAATCATACCTAAGCATCTGTTTTCACAGTAGGTTAATGTGACCTACATAAGCAGCTGCAGAATGGAATTTGATTGACAGATTTGTTTTAATTCTGCCGTTTCTTTTCTGTTTGTGTAGAGTTTGTGTTCAGCAGTGGTGCAGGTCTATGGAGCAGACAGAAACTCGTCCTGGGTGAAGAAGTGCTGTGGGGTGGCCTGTCTGGTGAAAGACAACTCTCAGAGATCTTACTTTATCAGGGTGTTTGATATGAAAGTAAGTCAACAGACACTCAGATGCTTTTTTTGATACATCTGCGCACTTTTCATTGAGCTTGGTTGTTTTCATTTGGAACCAAACATATTGTTTAGCACAATAGCATGAACTTTTATTTAAAAATATATCCATGTATATTTTATTTATGTATTATTTTATTTATATTCAAATATATTTTGTTATTTATTTAGTTACAAATATAAATCAAATATATCCTTTAGTATTAAAATAAGTTTATTATTCATATGTTGTTTTATTTATATTCCAGTGTATTTTTTGTATATTATCTTATATAAATTAAATATATTCTTTAGTATTAAAATAAGTTTATTATTCATATGTTGTTTTATTTATATTCCAGTGTATTTTTTGTATATTATCTTATATAAATTAAATATATTCTTTAGTATTAAAATAAGTTTATTATTCATATGTTGTTTTATTTATATTCCAGTGTATTTTTTGTATATTATCTTATATAAATTAAATATATTCTTTAACATTAAAGCTTATTTATTAATTGCATTCATTTATATGTTATTCATATATTGTTTAATTTGTTCATACAATTAATAAATAATATTAATAAACTATATTTAATTTTTGGTAAAATAATTGTATTTATTTTATGAATAACTTAAATATATCATGGACACATGCACATTTAAATTTTATTTAGAATTGTATTTTATGAATAAATTAAATAATATATAAATAAAATATATTCTTTATGATTTATTTTCATTTATTTTATTTTTATACTATTTTATTCATTCTATGAATTAATTAAATACTACATAAATACAATCTATATTCATAAAAATAAAATAATAGAAAATTTCACATATGGAAGTCATGCTTCTCTTAGTGTTAAGTAAACGGTTTCTTTTTCTGCTTTGACAGGACGGAAGACAATTGTTTGATCAAGAGCTCTACAACAACTTTTCAGTAAACTGCTCCAGGCCATACTTTATCACATTTGCTGGAGATGTAAGTATTCAGAACTTGAGCCTACATGCCCTTTGTATTTATGTGCCATCATAATCATTAAGTGCTTATGCTTATGTGCCATCATGGACACAGACTGATAAAGTTAGAGTTAAAATCAACATAAACATGAAATTGAATTCATTTGCTTTGGTCTTATAATGCATGATTCATCCATGCACTTTATCCTCCAAAAAGTTTGTCTTCATAATCTTTTATAGAATGTAAATGTAAAAAAATTTTCTCATTCAATATTGTTTTACTCTAAAATGTGATGCATTAAAAAAGTAGTTGCAAATGCCATTTTGTGTTAATTTTTAAAGATTCAAGTTCATCAGTGCAAGACTTTTTCCTGTTTGAATAACTCTTCTGAATCATCTATGTTTTGATTTATGACTTATTGTCTGTTTGGAGTGTATATAAAGCATCTTTAATGTGTGTTTGTCCTCAGACGTGCCAGATTGGTCTCAATTTTGCCAGTGAGGAGGAAGCCAGGCGATTCAAGTCTGCTGCCGATGAACCTCTGAATAGAAAAGGGAGGAAAACCGGTAAATACAACAGCGTATCAGCTTGTTTCTGTCCTTCACTTCATAACAGAGCTGTGTCTCTATGTATTCTGCTAGAAAAACATCATCTGGTTTTCTTCTGACATGATTCAGTCGTTCCCTCTATCTTCTTCTGTCACTCTTTCTTTAACATCTCACTCTCCCAGGATTTTCTTCGGTCTGTTTGTGCCACGTCGTGCTCTTTGATGTCTCTGGGTCTGATTGTGTAGGTCTGCTTCTGATTAACTCTGCTCTTTAACCACTTCCTCTCTTTGTGTCGGCTGACTCGGCAGCTTATCCCAGGACAAGGAGAGGATTGTGCATTTGAGTCTTTTCCCGTACATTTCCGACTAATAATAAACAAACAACTTCTCTGATCTCTCCTACAGCACTAGATTGATCTCACCTTCTTACTCTTTCACTAATAAACCTCACATTTTATATTGTGCAGTGGTGAATTTAGTAGTAATGGTTATCTTTTTGTCTTGCAGAAAAAAGACGTGACCCACCTAATGGTAGGTTGTTTACTAATGAATTACACAAATGTTAATTCTTTCTAAACTAAACTTTAAACATGACTGACAAAGTTTCAGTTCAAATGTATTTATGTCTCCACATGATTTGAAGATATGCGTTTATTGATACTGAACAAATGTTGAATAATCAGATTGCAAAAGAAATGTCCAGGTTACTTTTTGCAAAATCAAAACGAAACAAAATTGGAAATTATATTTTGCTAGGGAAAAAAGCCTATTTTTAAGGTCATTAAAGTTTTGTATTCACAGTTTGGCCCACAATTCTCATTACTATAAAATTAAATTGAATACAATTCTGCCATTTTGTATAGCTACATTTTATATTTACAAATGTCATTTATTAAATTGCATATAAAATTTAATTTAAATGTGATAAAACTAAAATGTATTTTATTCACTGTCAAATGTTTAATTTATTATAACATAGTGCCACAATACTATATATATATATATATATATATATATATATATATATAT